TATAATATATTAAATATATTAAATATAAATTGCTTTTTTACATTTTTATTAAAATAGTAACTGTATCAATATAAAAAAATAAAACTAATGATAAGATCTATGATACAGAAGCGTGTGTGTGTGAATGTGTGTATAATATTAAGTAATTAAAGGAACAATGATATAGGATAACTAGAGATACAATGGCAATAATAATATTCTTAAAATATTTGGTTCTGTTATTTAAATTTCATCTTCGTTTAAAAGCATATTTGGAATGCCATCGTTGATAGGAAATTTTCTGCCGGATTCGGGACACAATAAATCTCCGTTTATAACTTCGACTTCTAACAGAATATGATGAGCCTTTTTCAGAAAATCTTCATTTGTCTCGAAGTCCTCTATTAGAATCTGAGGTAATTCACCGACATGTCCTATCTATAATAAAAATACTCGTTAATATACTATAAAACTTTTTATAATATTTCAGTAGATTATATTATAAAATAATATTGTATAATAATATTAAGGATGGTGTTTCATAATATAATTTCAGGAATGAATGCAGAACACATAAAAAATTTGTACATTTGTTCTATCTGATCTTCTTGCAAATTGCAAAAGAATTAAGCTTGTGGTATATGCTTGTATATTACTGTGCTGGCAATTTTGTTGATTGTTATGCTGGAAATTATGTAGCTGCTGGCTGAATTTGCTGAATTTTTGTGACAGGTCAGGTACTATTTTTCTTGTATGATTTTGTGCTGGCTCATTGTGAAAGCCAATAATTAAAAATAATGCAATTATATATTTACAATAATGTGCCACAATAGCAACAATCTACTTCGTATTTACTTATTCGGACTTACTTTTGTCAAGAGTCTTTTGTCAAATAAATTACTGCTGCTCAGCTAGCCCTGCCAACATGACAACAAATTCAGCTATCTTGTAGAAAAAAAATCGTATGTTGCAAACTTTACTCAAAAACAAGATCAAATAGAATAAATGTTTATATGAACCTTTTATGTTACTTTTATATCTTAAATTAATTTCTGAAGTTATGTCTACATGTTACGAAACTCTGCGTGCGAGTACATGTACACAGGGTTATGAGTCACTTTGTAGAAGTAATTAGTTACAGTCATAGTTTCTTTCTCTCAAAAAATAATTATATTGACTCTGAAAAAAACTCGTTACAGTTACAGTTACTAAAAAAATTAATTTATTAATTTATTTATTAATTTATTTTCTGTTTTCATAACGGAACAGATAACATCAAGGAAGGCGCCAATTGCGCATGTCTTGCGCACATCGCTAATTGACAATTTAATATAAAATATTTTCATTGATAAAAAGCAGTGAAAAATTCTAGGTCAATACGAGTTATGTACAATCAGGAATGTAGGCTAATTTAGGTCCTTTCTTAATATTAATACTATTAAGATTAATACTATTAAGATTATCAAGAAAAAAACTGATTTATGTTTACATGTTATATAATTTTATTAAAAAAAAAAAAGAAACAATTCTATGGCAAAGAATAGGAAAAGGAATTATTGAGTATACAAATAAATTTCCATCATTTTCTGATTAAATAAATCGCAATCATTTTTATAGAAAAATAAGACTATTTTATTCAAAATATTTGCCATCAAAACCTTTCTTTACTTTTCAACTAATGAAGTAATCCAGTCATCAACCCAATTCACATAGGACTCAATTTTCTTACTTTTGAACCATTCCGATTGCATGTAGACGTTGGGAAATACATTGTTGGATAATATTTAATGTCATTGCTAAATCTGTTTCTGTTTGGCACGGATCTTCATCCAGTAATGCTTTCAATTCTGCATCTTCAAATTTTTTGATGCATCTACATTCTTTGTTTTCCATCAAAATCGTTACTTTTAAATTTTCTGAACCACTTTCTACAAGTACTTTCAGCTAGAGCATGTTCACTATAAGCTTCTACAAGTAAACAGTGACTTTCAGCAGCAGTTTTCTTTAAAATAAAATAATGCAACAAAACTTGCCGCAAATGCTGTTTTGTTGGCACAAAATTTAACATTTTCAACGCAATGAGAAAATTTGTTGTTTACACTATACTCTAAAGTTACATATTAAATCTTAAAGTTTACTTAGATATCTAATATGTTATATTAGATGTTACATTTTAAATGTAACATTACATGCACGCAATACTGATGACGGCATCTATTAGAAAACGATGGAAATTTATTTGTACATCCAATATAGAGCAAAAATGTTTCTCTTGAAATTATATAATATACATGTATATGAAATTACATTGGCAATTTTAATTAAAACAGATTATCTTGATAAAAGGTATATTGATACCTTGTAATGTACATAAATGTTTTCATTATCTTATTTTTTATTTATACTAATATATTTTGTATTATATACAAGTATATTATATACAAGTATATACAAGTATATACAAACAAGTAAGATTTCATAGAATCTTACTTGTTTTCTTGAATTGTACTGACAAAATTTAATAAAACGCTTAAAAATATTTTGTTATATGTTATTTTATATTTATATTTTATTATTTATAGAAACATATTGGGGACAAGTTGGAGCATATGATATGAATCTTTTAATATCCAAGGTAACTATTAAATTGCTAGTTATTAAAAAAATGTAACTAACTTAAGTTACAGTTACTGAAACAAAAACTTTAACTGTAACTTCTTTACAAGCAATGATTTACTTCTCTGATCATGTATACATGTTTATATGAGAAGGTGACCTTACACTCTCGGCAGCTTTCCATAGCACTGTCCAATCCAATTTTGGAATTATCCTAGCGATATATTCTGGATTAAAATCTACTTCGGATACTCTGATGTCTCGAGCCTGTAAAATTTTACGAATATTTTTAATAAGTATTAATATGATAAATATTAATATATTAATATGATAATGAGGAATCTTTATAACAAAATTGTATATTTTTGGATTTTTTAGACAAGAATAATCTTGAAAATAATAATATAAATAAATTTTAAGAAAAAAATTTAGTTGAATCTCAACATTCTTAAAGAATGGCTAAAATTTTAAACGACTATATTTCAAAACAAAAATATTATTATTAATTATTTTCAAGTATCTGTCTATTACCACCTAAAGTACATTGCTGCACACACATACACATACATAACACTTAACATAGTAAAACAATTAACATAGCTTTAGAACATTTTAAATCTTTTTTCTTGATTTTTTCAACTCAAAATATATTTTAAAAATAAACATTTTTATTATTACAAAATTAGATTCAAGTTTATTAAGTAAAATTGAAAACATTCAATTAAGTTTTAATATTTTTATATTTTTGCACAGTATTGTCTAATTGGTTATTATTTTATTCGTTTTCTGTATGCAATAAGCAATTTAACAATGAGAGTTAAATAACGTTATTTTGACAACATCAAAATATTGTTTAATGTATCAAATAATTTTCATAATGTATGATTGGATATTTCAATTATTCAACGTTTTTATTTTAAAAAAGTTTTACATTTTAAACATGTATTGTAATTTGTATTTTAATGGAAAGGAGAAAATAGCTTACGATTATTTTCAAAGGATAACCGACTGTCACCCCTTTCATAGCTCTAGATGTTAACATATTGTGCGTAAGAAGCTTCATATTTTTCTGCAATAAGAAATTGACACGGCGCGAATTATTTGCTCCAATATAATACAGAGAAACAAAACGTGCACAACCACTATCATAATACACCATAATAGATAACCATAGACACAATATAAACAGAGGGAAACTCTTTGACTATATAAGTATGGACCACCAGTAAACGCAAACTTCACACTGATTGTCAAACCGTAGCGACATCATTAACCAAGAACACACCGACGAGATACTATTAAAGACGGTCGGCGCTCATGGAAATTCATGTACCTATTAAAATTTAAGACCTGTATTTAGAACGCGCTTACAACGATGTAGTGCGCTAACATGTTATAATTGATGTCACGCATACTATAAAATTTCAGAGATAAAAGCGCGTTCTGAATAAATCTAAGTGATTAAGACTCGGTTGTTTTATCTTATGGTAAATTTTATCTGTTGGATAAGTAGCAAGATTATCCAATCACATGCGTGGATTGCCAGATTTACCTAACAGATAAAATTTATCAAAAAGTGGAACAACCGGCTCTAAGAGTGAAAAACTATATAGTAATATGGAACTAATTTCATGATTTATTAGTAATTTCGTAGACATGTACATATATTTAAAACTAAATAATACTCGATTTTTATTTAAACCTGTGATTTTAATATTATCATCCGAGTTTGATTATCAATAGATAATAACTACAGAGAAAACATAGTAATTTTTTGGCAATATATTGGATTGTCCGGAAAGTTCGTGACGATTTTGAAGGAAAATTGAAACGCAAAAGATTTAAATTTTAGTATACATTTATTAAATTATGTAGGTGCTATTCTGTTCTACAACCTTTCTTCATCTTTCAGGCAACTTGAAAATTTCATCCTTCCAGAATCTCTTAGATTTTTTAGCGAAAAATTTTCTAAGTGATTTTTTTACCTCGACCAAAGAGTTGAAGCTTTTTCCATTAAGGGAATTTTGTAATGATCGAAATACGTGAAAATCAGAGGGCGCGAGATCTGGTGAATATGATAGATGGGGTAGAACATCCCAATCAAGCTCCAACAATTTTTGTCGAGTTATCAAAGACACATGAGGCTGCGCATTGTCCTGATGAAACACGACGCCCTTCCGATTCGCTATTTCTGGACGTTTTTGTTCAATTGCTGTCTTCAATTCGTTTAATTAGAAACAATACTTCTCTGAATTTATCGTCTCATTGTTTGGTAAAAGCTCATAATACAGGATCCCTTTCCAATCACCAGATGTCACGCAGAGCATGACCTTTTTTGGATGAAGACCGACTTTTGGGGTGGCTAAAGGTAATTCATTCCGCTTTTCCCAAGATCTTTTTCGTTCAACATTATTGTAAATGATCCATTTTTCACTCCCTGTTACTACTTGCTTCAAAAATGGTGTCTCCTCGTTGCGTTTATAGAGCGAGTGGAAATGCGATCCATCAGATTTTTCTCCGTAAATCGTGGAGAACCCATGCATCAAAACGGTTTATGTTGCCAAGCTTCACAAAATGCTTGTGGATTTTGACATATTCAACATTTCTGCTAATTTATGTGTCGTATAGTATGGGTTATTCTCGATCAATGTTTTAATCTGATCTTCATCTGTGATGGAGGGCCTATCCGGGCGTTCTTGATCTTCAAGGTTAAAATCACCAGTTTTAAACCTAGCAAATCACTTTCGCACAGTTCTTTCAGATACAGCATTTCGTCATAAACAGCGCATATCTTGTTTGCCGCTGTGTGGCATTTTTGCTTTAACGGTAAAAGAAAAGCATTAAATGCCTAAAATGCATTTTGTTTTCTTCCATATTCAAAGGCGTATAAAACTGACAAAAATTAATGTATCGCAACCAAATTTTTTTCCAAATATGCCTGAAGTATCGTCTTTTACGATATGTACGCATGTCATTTGTTTTCAATCGTTCTGATATATTCAGACCTGTCCTTACGCCACCTACCAAAAATCACGGTGCGAACTTTCCGGACAATCCAATATAAGATATTATTATAACAATAATGTTGAGCGAAAAAGATCTTGGGGAAAGAACCACCTTTAGCCACTCCAAAAGTCAGTCTTCATCCAAAGAAGGTCATGCTCTGCGTCTGGTGATTGGAAAGGAATCCTGTATTATGAGCTTTTATCAAATAACGAGACGATAAATTCAGAGAAGTATTGTTCCTAATTAGACGAATTGAAGACAGCAATTAAACAAAAACGTTCAGAAATAGCGAATCAAAAGTATTAAAAGTTTGCATACTTATTTATACAATATTTACTTACTTATTTATACAATATTTATACTTATTTATACAATATTTATATAATAAAAAATTTAGTAGTATATTATTAAATATTTATGTTAATATTTATAAATTTTTGTTAATTATCGGTAATGTCATCATTCTTCAATTAT